CTTCCCCATTTCCTAGACATTGGTGGACACTTTCTGGAGGTACCGTGACTTGTTGGCTAGAATCAGTGAATATCTTAATTTAGTCTTTGTGTCTCTCTCTGTCTCTCTCTTCTCTCTCTCTCTCTCGATTTTACTAATATACAAATATCTTTTGGAAAACACCATTCCAACCACCAGTTTGACTGGCACCTATGAATGTGCCAGCCTTATGACTTGAGAAACAGGTGAAATTAACTCTTGAGAGCAGGACTATAAACAGAAAGCATTTTATTACTTCCCCAAATTAAGTACCCTCCATAAAGCAAGATTTAATATCCCTTGTTCTATGGGGGAGAGAGGAGGAAAGAAAAAGATTTGCTGGAATGATGGCTTTGAAGAAGAAAAAATTAAGAGAGTAATATCTGAGTGAAGGGGTTGACTTTCACCTGTAGGAGCGGTAGTGAAGGCAGAGTGTATGCCTATAGAAGTGTGTCCAAGAGAGATGATGCATAGGATGGTCTCTCCTGGTTGCTGTTATTTTCACTATAAAAAACGAAGTGGATTAGTTGAGAGAAATCATGGAGAAGGAGTTGGTGAAGGTTTGAGGAAATAGCATATGAGAAAAGGAACATTTTTAAGATTTTCTAGGCTAGCAGCTGACTAAATGAATGAGGGAAATTTCTTGAAATAACTAAGCAGCATATGGGACCACTTGCAGTTTGTGGTCATGGCAAACAAGTCAGCATGACTGTATTTCCATCAGCCACAGTACACTGTCATGTGGCGCGTGTGGAGTAAGTAGACAGGTGGATTTAGCCAGGGCTGGTGTATCATCAAGCAGTTAAGAAACAAAATGTAAAGTTCCATGCAAGACAGTGAAATAACAATTAATCATGACATTTAAGATGGGTAAGTAGGAATGTAAATGGGGGAGATGGAAGAGATTAAAAGTGAAAAATATTATCATAAATCAGGCCAGGTGCAGTAGCTCGCCCCTGTAATCCAAACACTTTGGGAGGTCCAGGTGGGCAAATCACTTGAGCTTGAGTTTAAGAACAGCCTGGGCTACATGGCAAAACCCTGTCTCCACTAAAAATACAAAAAATTAGCTGAGCATGATGATGGCGCATGACGGTAGTCCCAGCTAGTCGAGAGGCGGAGGCAGGAGAATCACTTGAACCCCAGGTTGCAGTCAGCTGAGATTATGTCATTGCAGTCCAGCCTTGGTGACAGAGCAAGATTCTATCTCCAAAAAAAGAAAACAAAAATGTTATAATAAATTAATAATAGTTTTTATTGTGTGGGGGGGGAGAGGAGTAAATTATTAAATTATTAGAATCTGATTACTAGAGGGAAAGGACTGAAAAGATTGTGATCAGGGATTCAGATGCTTGCAATTGATATTTGACAGTCTACAGTTATTGGTAATAAGAATGACGGTGAAAACATTTGACTATGGTAATAAGAATAACGATGAAAACATTTGACTATGACTATGGTCATCTGTCATCTTTATAGATATTGAAATCACCAAGGATTATGACATAGGTTGTCCTAGAGAGAGACCTACAGTGGGCTTCAAGGTAAAGTTTCCAGGATTTTCAGAGGCTTTAGCGAGGACCGAAGAAAAATGATCCAGAATTGACAATAAGGAAAATGAAACACACTCATTCTCACCTTCAGTGTTTTCCTAGCATGGACTTGGAGAAAAATCAGCCACTTAATATTTGGTGGAAAGCAATGTTGTCATGCAAGACTCCAGTGCTGGTTAGAGCAAGGAGATGAATGAGCGAGAAGAGACTGAGAACATTCAAGGTTTTGCTTCTGATAGATTGCATGTTCCAGTGCACACTCCGGACAATGTCATGAGTTGGAAAAGGATGAGTGATGGAAACAGAAAATATGCAGGGCTATATGAAGATATGAGGATTAGAGTTTATCAGCCATTTGTGCCACTGTTTTTATTTTTAAGTATGCCCATTTTTTTGAATATTCTATCATGAGTTTTTTAAATGTTGTATTTTATATATACTAGTTATTAACAACTTTGCATACTTACAATTGGCATACTGTATTTCCTTGCCAAGGAACTGAGTAATGCTGCCAGATATTTTACCGTTTTAATGTAATTGTATGATTTTTTTGGCTAATCCCCAAAATGGAAAAAACTATATTCCGTTTTGTATTTTTGGTAATTTGTCGCATTTGTTGTATAAATTACTCTTTCAATTTAATATTCTTTCTTTGAAAGAAGAACACATACTCTTGGGTCTTTAATCATTCCTGATTGCCCTTCTACATTCTTTGCTCATCCATAAATGATGGCATGGATCATATAAGACCAGCCAGAATTCACCCTTCCTGCACAGGTTTTTGGGATGGAAGAGAGAAAAAGGAGATTTATGATAATGAGAGTACTACTAGGAAATTAAGGGGAAGTGGGAGGCCAAAGATATATTCCAAAATTGGGCTGCAGGAAAGTGTTCTGTATTAGCAGTTCCCAATGTTTTTGGCACCAGGGACCAGTTTCCTGGAAGATGATTTTTCCATCGATGTTGGGTGGAGGGATATGGTTCCAGGATGATTCAAGCACATTACATTTAATGTGATCTTCATTTCTACTATTATTACATTTTAATACTTAAGGAAATAATTATACGACTCACTATATAGAATCAGTGGGATCCCTGAGCTTGTTTTCCTGAAACTAGATAGTCCCTTCTGGGGTAATGGGAGACAGTGACAGATCACAAGGCATTAGATTCTCGTAAAGGAGTGTGCAACCTAGATCCCTGGCATGCTGAGCCCACAATGGCGTTCATGTTTTTATGAGAATCTAATGCCACCACCGATCTGACAGGAGGCAGAGCTCAGGTGGCAATGCAAGATACTGGGGTCTTGCTTTGTAGCTCAGGTTGGAATCAGTGGTGTGATCTTGGCTTACTGCAGCCTCGACCTCCCCAAGCTCAGGTGACCTCCTCACCTCAGCCTCCCAAGTAGCTGGGACTACAGGTGTGTGTCACCACACCTGGCTACCTTTCATATTTTTTTGTAGAGACTGAGTTTACTATGTTGCCCAGGATGGTCTAGAACTCCTGGACTCAAGTGATTCTCTAGCCTTAGCCTCCTAAAGTTCTGGGATTATTGGCATGAGCCACAGTGCCCAGCAATAAAGTATTTTGAAAGACAAGAAAACTGAACAATTTGCTGCAGATATATGTCCTCCTGGGCAAAAATGACAGATAATACTGCTCTCATATACCCTAGAAAATCCCACAACCCAAAATGCCCTCTGGAAATTCTACCACGGTTCATTCATTTTGCCTATCAGATAGTTTCTGAAGGACATCACAACTCCGTTTACTGATATTTTGGTGTTAGTTACTATGCAATCAGAAACTGTGCTTTACCAGTTAGCTAGTAACATAGTAAAATACATAATCATGATTTAGTAGAGACAGTGTCTCAAATCACAGATTTCATGAGTGAAGAATGGACAAGGAGGACGGGCTTCAGGGAGCCGTGAAAGCGATGAGTGCTTATGTTTGGAGCAAGAAAGAGGGTCTTGAAAAAGCTTGATTAGTAATTCTGAAACAGTGCTGCCATGTTTAAGTGCTTGACTCATGCCAGATTGCAGCACCACTGTTTGCTAGTCAGGACTGTGAAGGAAATTTTTTATTATTATTATTATTATTAAATCAAAGTTTGAAATATAGAGAGTGATGCATGTTATGTGGAAGTTTTTATACAAAGTGTAATCATAGTAATACAAGATCCAGAATCGCCAGGAACAATATTTCCCATCATGCCTTTTGGTTAATTCTTGTCCTAGGTCACATTATTCTAGCTTGCAAGATATATAATAGGACTGTCCTGATTATAAACTATTTCTTGAGAAATTAGCATACTGCCTCTTTGTAAACGCTCAACAAATGTTGGCCATTATTATTAGGCTATTAACTCCCAGCCCTGCTATATTCCTTCTTGCATGCTACTGGAACATTTGATTACTTCTTCAAGCCTCAGTTTCTTCATCAGTAGAATAAGAATATAGCATAGTATAGGTATATGAGAAAGATGTAACATACAGTTTTTGGGATTAATGAAATAATTTATAGATCAACAACTTTGTATAATAAGAACATATAAAATTTTTGATAATTATGGTTTAAGTAATTGTCATTACCATCATTTTTATTATAAAAATATCTCTAATTAGCTATGTTTAGTATGCTAGACCCAAATTAGTGGATTATTGAATCACATCCCATAACTAATTGCCTAAAAGGGATTTGGGAAGGATTTAGGAAGATCGTGTGGAGCTGGGGAAAATAGGTACGTGCCAAAATGTCTTGAGCTTTATGCATATAAAGTGCTCTAAGTGTTAATGTTAATACATAAGCAGATTGCTTTATGAAATAACATTTTGCTGGATCCCTTCAGAAGTCCAAGTGATCCATTACATTCATAGAGCCTGTATCTTTATTGCTAGAACAGGATATCTTATTAGCATTCCAGAGCATATGATACAATGACTTACAGTATTCAAACACCTGTGAAATTTGAGGATATTAAAAGTTGTGATAGAGAGGGGAAAAAAAGCTAAGAAGAGAATAGAAAAAAAAAAAAAAAAGCATTTTCTCACACTGGTTCCCAGCTGGGATTACAGCTGTTTGATTCATACCATCTGGGGGTGTCTAATTAGAAACTACCTAGAATAGGCTTTTAAAGAAGTAATTTGAGAATAAACTTAACATCAGCCGCAGTTCAGATCCCAGAAGGCCTGGAGTTAAGGTAGCATGAACTAATGGATCAATGAATAAAGGAAATATGCATAATCACGGTGCTTGAACGAAGTTACTCCTGAAAAAAGCAAAATGCCACCTGTTTTTTCAATGCCTAGTAAATCTGCCTGAGAATAACAGACCTTCAGGTTAACAAATAAAAATAAGAAGCTATGCATATTACAGTGAGCACAGTCTGACGCCTACATTATGGTTTAAGTTGTTTTCCAATTTTAA